GATGCCCCCTCCCCCCCCCCCCCCCAACCCCCAGTCACTGACTCGTAATGCGTCATTTGGCGGGTGGGTCCGTGCCCGGCTTTCACTTAACGCCAAAGAAAACAACAGAAACGCCGAGAAAATGGCACAAACAGCAACGAGCCACCGAAAATCAGGTCAGATTTAACGAAATCCAGATATTTTTTATTCTTCCGACGACAACAAAGCATTCCTCGCGCCCACGCGACGCGCCCGCCGCCTGGCGGCCAGCTGTACCGTGCAGAACCACGGACGGCCCGCACCGCAGTCTGGCCGGGCGTTCGCCATCAGAGGGACAGGCACGACAGACTCAACTCACCAGCCGCTCCGTCTGCTGGAAGTTGATGAGCTTCACGATCTCGGCCTTGGTCAGCTCCGAGGCGGGCTTGCCCAGCTTGGCGAAGGCGCACTTCTTGGTGTGGTACCGCGCCCCCCTGCACGCCCGGGGCGACGGTCATGCCGCGGTCATGAGGGAGTAGGGGGGGGGGGTGGGGGTAGAGTACCGGTGGTGTAGCATCGTTACCACTGGGCTTTACGACGCACTTAGCTGGTGAGGTTATGTGGCGTCGGCTGCCTCTCAACCGGGCCGTACAGTTAAACCGCACACACTGGGAAACCAGAGGTACGGGGTTTGATTCCCCGCGATGCCCACCCTTCCTACCACGGTGAGAGGCATGCGACGTCGTTAAGCGTCAGCAGCTGAGTGCATCGTGAATCCTCAATGCCAACACCACGAGCGGACGGCTCTGTAGTGATAGAGGGGATAAAGGCGCGTGGTACCAAGAGCAGCGTGCGATCAGAGTCCAGGGTGAGCAAAGACAGCAGTCACAAGGTCCCAGCAAGGAGCAGCAGGGAGAGGGGATGGGTTATAGGCCACTAGTGCCCACGCAGCATGACCAATGAGATGACAATGGTGAGCAAACTGCACATCGCAGCTTAATAACATGCAAAGCCCACTCAGCAGACATGAATGGGCTTTGCCATCCCTACTCCATCCACAAGTCCTCACATTCAGGCTCCAGGCATTTGCTCAGGGTACAAGAAAGCAGTTGAAGTGGTCACAAACAAATCATTTTTAGGGTCTTTCTACCACAACACTTTTTCAGGCAAGACACTGCGTCCCTCAACAGGATCCCTACGCCAGTGCAGCTCATGGGGCACTGCATGGGCAGCAGGTCCCAGGTGGTGCCATTGCTAGCCACCTACATGGGGTTATCCTCAGCCTCCCAGCCTTCCATCTCCTTGAAGCAGACGAAGCAGCGCGTGAGGTCCGGCTCGTCGTCGCCGCCGCAGTGGAAGAAGCCGCTCTCCGCCATCTGTTGCCAGGTCAGCAGTTGGTGTCAGTGCCACTCGCAGGTGCTGGGGCATGGGGGTGCTTCTCGGGGTGAATTTGGTCAACACAGGGGGTTGGGGATAGCGATACAGGTAGGAATGCATTCTGTGTGGGTGTTAACTAATGCCACACTTACTCAACTGGATAAACATTAACAGAATGAAGCAAATCTCAGGATTCTAGTTCCGACAAGAGGTGGATAGAGCACATGAATGCAGCAAAAGTTACCCTGTGCAATAACAAAGCTATGTTCCTGCTGTAAAAGCTGTGGTATGTGCTCCTATAACCAGATTGGCAGGGTTCTATCTCTGCATAGCATGGTTGGATGACCATTGTTGGTGCCAGGGGCTCAGACTCTGCATTCACTTGTCAGCAAAAACATGACAGCCAACACACACTAACTTGATTATCTTTGGAAGGAGTTTGATGTTAAACACCTTGCGGAACTGTAGACAGCACAACACATGTTCAAACAGAAAAATGTCAGTCATGATAACATTCATATGCCAGTGTGCGGGGACACATTCCATAAGCACGACAATGTGACTAACGCACTGAACAGCTTTCTTCTATCATCTGATATTGCTACATCCTCCTTGGCATGCAAGCCTGGTAAAAACATATCCTAAGGTGACACAAAAAAGATTATGTGTAGCCTCATGTCACATACCTTCTTTATTGTGACACACATCCTGGTTCATCCTCTATGGGCCACACTTGTAGCTTTTGAATTCTACTCTCCACTCTGTTCATATCAAGCTCCATCTTGATTGCACTACAGTAACTCCTGGAAACAGCAGACAGACATATTGGCGAAAGGTAATAACATTTTTTTCATTGCCCCATGTCTAGTCAGAACATGGGTGATGTGCAAGTCCTCAAAATAGAAGTGCATTCTACATTTGCTCCCAATGTCACACACTGACATGAAAAGTGGCTAAGCAACAAATAAAGCAATGTCGTCTACCTTGCTACTATTATTTGTACACAAATTTGCAGACAGAATAAAACTGGCCATGCTTCAAAGCAAAGAACACAACACTTTATAGCTTTCACCAACTTCTTTTATCATTACATACCACCCAAAAATTGGGAAAAATGGCAAGTTTTGATGGGAGACAATAATTTAAGCCTTTTACACTTGAATGGAACATTGACTTGACTGGTTCTAAGAAATGTGAAGCAAGGCAAAACCTACAACACTGCAGCAGCAACATGCAAGATAATAGCTGTGAGGCATAAAAGGGCATGAGGTGAAACTCATGCCTCAACTGAGTTGAAACACACACTCACAATGAGCCTGATATTAACTCCTAAATAGTAATGCATATATCAAGGATCTCCCAATAGGATACAATAACAAACATGATATGAAACCAGAGAGCTTGCACTCTTTCTAAAATAGGACTAGGAAGGGTACACCAATGATACTGAAGATACTTCTCCCAAGGCACTAGGTGAAGAGCAAGCTCCCAATTGAAACAATTAAAGGCAGCTCCCAACACAATTTAAATCTCAACCTCTAAACTAGAGGCAAAATGGGTTTGGCACTTGAACTGGCCTGTGGCCTATACCTATGCGGTCTCAATCTTGTTGCCAAATGCCACGCGCCCAACAACCAAAGCCCAACTCCTACCCAGAGGATCTGCTTTCCCAGTCATCCCATCCATTCAGGGACAATCTGCAAATTTTGATCGCACAAACGTCTCCAATTCTGGTCAAAGACACACCCATCTTATTTACAACATCAAAAATCGATTTCGTTGCTCGATTGACTGCATCGAGACGCCGCACTTAAGTGCATAGAGCTACCTTCGCAAGAGACGTCTCCAATTCCAGGCTAAACACGCTTACCATTTACCTCTAAAAAAGATTAAGCCACTCGCTTGGCAGCATTAAGGTTCCGCACTCACAACTTAAGAGCTACCGTCGAATTCAATAGCGTGCATACAGCTTACCGGTCACAATCAAGGCACCCAACGCTACACAAAACGCAATGCACGGAAACCCCGCAAAATAAACGCAAATCTGCCGCCCTTAGCAGAATCTGGCAGCTGACTGTCTGTTTGAAGACGATTAACACCATATGAAGGAACACCTTTACGAAGGACAGCATCAAAAAGTACTTCAAAGAGCTGGGCCGGCCCAAAACGACCAGTATCTCGAACGGCATAGTATGCAAAAGTCGTTGAGCCAAGCGAAGACGTGCAAGACACGAGTTGCATGCATGTAATTGCGTTAGGAGTGAAAGAAGCATCTTTTAAAATGGTCTTTAAGCTAAATCTTGTTTTATTTTAACACTGCCACATTGTGTTGTGCTGTGTTGTGGTGTGCTGTCATTCACTCTGTTGTCTCTGTTTTGATCTGCTCTGCCATCTCTAAACCCTGCCATGTGCACTTAAAATCTATCCTATACGACAAACTACATCTTAACTTATGCGGCCCTCAGCCCACTTAGCCCATAACCCTTCCCTTACCCTCCTCTTCCTGTTGCTTCCTGCCCTATGCCTTCATCTACTCCCTTGGCTTGTGCCACTATTTCCTGCCTGTCCTATCCTGCTGTCTCCTGTCCTGCGCTCGTCTACCCTGTGCATTTCCGCCCTGCCCCACCTGCTGATCTGTCCTAGGCCTGTTTCGTACTGTTATGTTGCCTCCTGCCCCCTCGCCCCCCCCCCCCCCGTCTTCTGCCCTGCCATGCCAAGCCCAGTTGTGGGGGACCCTTATGGAGGCTAGGGAGGGCCGCTGTAACTTGCCCGTTTCGTGATTGTACTGCCGCCATGCTAAATGTTGCCCAGATTTGGCAGGGGGTGACTGCACACTGCCCCCCTCCCCCAAATCTGCTGACCAAAGCCCCAGCCCCAGCCCAGCCTCCGTGACAGCCCCAGCCCCAGTCGGAAATAAACAGCTCTTTTTCCTTCTTTTTTTGGTTGGCCAATGCAAGGTCCGTTTTTCCCTCGACGGACCTGGAGTCACTTCGGGGGCGGGGGGAGGGACAACTACTCCCGGCTTAAGCTACCTCGTGACCGGCGATGTATCGGGTTACGCGTCGGCTTAACATGGCATGTATGAGTAACTTTGCGGTCACCTGTTGTTATTATCGCTCAGGCCGGGTATGACATTTGGGAACATTGGACTGGCCCTCAGTTTAGATCTCACGAGCGGTATGTTTTGTATTACAATAATTAACTCCACCATGCGAGGTCCAAGGACAATTTTACCGAAAGCTGACAGCCAATCAGCTTTACACGCCGATAATTGCGAAACCATGCACTACAGGTGATATGAACCTTGACACGCGCCCGGGTAGCCGGCTGAATATCCTCCGCTCCGGCGAGGTCATTTCAACCCCTGAGGTCTCAAAAACTACGATCGTTTGAGATACTACACTCACAGAGTGAATTAACCTATACGTGAACTCACCTGTGTCAGAATTTGGGGTTCCTTAATAATTACCTTGGGTCAAACAGGGCCGAACAAAGTTAACTTCATATTGGTGTCACAGGTGCCCCAGACCTCCCCATATCAACCGCCGTGAAGCTGAATGTTCTGTTCTAAGCAAAAGGCCCGTAAGGTCGGTGACCTTGTTAAACTTTATAAGGCTAAGATGACCAAATATCTGCGGGATTGCTCCTATTTTGCCGTTCGAATAAGCGTCAGGGAGTAGGCTGGACGATATGCTCCTGAAAACAAAATGTTGACCTGGGTCATCTCAGTGACCTACTCTGGGCCTTTCACAAGTCCATGGAGTATGCATGTTGCGGTCCCTGTTATTGATAAATTCGAAATAAGCACCAGAAACTGCCTATAAAACCAGGCACTTGAGCAAAAAAAGCCAATCAGTCGCGACCCCAGTCCTGACCTTCATCCCCGATCTAAGATCAACAGAATGGGCTGTAATTAGAAATTCGATTGGCTTATTGTCCAAGGAACTTGTTCATATAGGTATGGTTTCGTCAAATACTTCGTCGTTACACCACATAGAACGATTCCCTCGAAACGTCCTTCGCCGACATCGGCAACGGCTTACCTTTGGCCATAGGTCAGCGACCTTAAAGAGTGCATCTTATTTTTACATCAAAAGATCCGCTATTCAATTTTCTACAGCTACAGAAAGTTAAGCATGGTTACGCCGCGCCCGTTCGAAAAGCATCCTCGTGGGGGCCAATTTGGCCCCCCACCCCCACCCGAGCGCGTGTCAAACGAGCGTGCTCATTGTTGAAGTTGAACGAGAGCATTGACATGTGGTCGTGTGTGTGCTTGATGATGGAGGGTACGGAGCGCTACGGGTGCCGGAAGTAGAGCAGTGTAACCCCCGCCGCCCGCTGTCGACAGACTCGTCGGTTGCTCACCACCGTCCGCGCCGGAATAAATTGTCGTGCTGCGTTTTAACGTCTCTACTCAGAGACCAAAGTGCTTAAGACACGTTTCGACGTGCGAACACGTGCACTCAATGCCCCAAAGGCTGCGACAATTTTGGCGCGAGTGCAAAGACATGTCAGCAATATATTGGCAAACAATCTTAGGGCTCACATCGCTCCCTTCCCTGAAAGGGGGATGATTAAGTCGCCGAAATGGGTAGAACAGACCATTTACGTATCGCCGTGCCATGCTTCTGAGGTCCAGAAGCGTTGCCATAAGGCTTGTTGCAGTCGTTGCCTGCAACCTAACAATGGCCTGGCCGTACGTGCGTACCTGTATGCTCTTACGCATCAACTATGAGTTCACACACTGTTGCTTCATGTTCAACTCACAAGGGCTGACTAAAACGAAACGACTCTGGAAGGACGCAGTGGGTATAATGCACCTGTCGTCGAACAAGCATCTATCAGCTATTGTAGTCCATTCTCGTGAACATGACACCATCGCTGATATCGTGGTCACGTGCGGGAAACTCACAAAACCACGCACCTGTCCTCATCGTGCGTGAGCGTTGCCATTCCCGATCGAATGGAGTTGGGCCCAGCACAGAGTTGCTCAGACTTGGAGCTGATCAGCAAACCCTGGTCTCTGTACATGCACTTCCGTTCAACAGACCTCTCCAACGTTTCCGCACAGAAGTCTGCTCTGACATGACGCGCCACGATCCAACACGAGAGACCACGCATAGCCAACTATCCCCAAATGTTGCCACAACGTAAGCAAGCGAACAAAACGAAGCGTCGTCCCTGTGCGTGCCTTGCTGAGGCCGAACACAGGTGCTCCCTCTGCGTGAACTCCATTATTTTTGTGCACGTCCTGACTGTCGTTGCACGGATCGTTACGTAATAACGCTTGCCTAAGGTTGTAATCAGGTCGTAAAGACAATCAGCAGTGTATTCCGAACGCGGGCATTACGCGTCCTACTGGAACTGGTTCATAACCTCTGACAACTTATTGATCTTCGCAGAACCACAGCAAAATCAGTGCCTCACAAAACATAGATACTTAATGCGCAGCATGTATTGTCTGTTGCATGATATCACTAGTACACATTATATTACCAACGCTTCGCATTAACTGCGATGCTTTAAGCACGTAATGAACACTTGCACATCTTGTGTTGTTACTCTACCGTTTGCCGCGCGTCATCGCGAGGCATTTCTTTAGTAGCATATCGCGAAACGATGTAGACGAAATATGGTGAGTTGTGAAATGGTCAGTAGGATACGGTGACGCACGCCAGCGATAAAGGGAGGCACACACTCATCATACCCACTGCAGTTTGAGCTGTTCCT